TAACTAGATTAACATTTGGGACCTATTTACTGTGGCAGACAAACAATGCACCTATGATCTATTGTGGGCTGGGCTTAGATTTCAAATTTTAATGGTAAATGTGGTTGACAAACTTGGAGTTAAATTCACATGATAGCCCTGAAGGATGACGAGTAGTTTATGCTTTACAGGCAAGAATAGGTGTTGAAATTAGTTCTCAAAGAATTAACCTGAACTTCAGTTTTTCAGTCTCTTCATAAAGCCTATAAATACCACAGACAGGGCTTATGTCATTAGTCTCTTAATGTTATAAACATTTAATGAAGTTAAATTCGAAGTACAACACGTTGTAAAATCAATCTGATCTTGCTGGGGGAGACAAAGGGAAGAAAATTGTTTGAGTCATTTGGAAAACAAATTAAGAATTATATTCACTTAACTTCGAGGTGGGTGAAAAATTGTGACCAAGACAGATAGACCCATTGTATTTCAAAGGAGAGCAGGGGCTGGGAGCAGCGGAAACCTCTCACTATGCTAGAGGCTGTCCAACATACATTAACACCACTGTCGGTGGCAGGCAGCCCGACAGGAGTCACTTGGGAGATGACAAGCAGCACTTTCCTAGAAATTGGAGGAATTTCACTCTAAACATTACTGCTTGGTTGCCTCTTCCCCAAAGCAGATACTGCAGCAGCTGAAAAGTTCAGTGCTTTTGACCACATCTTCACTGTGCCATCCACAATAAACTTGTCAAGGGAACGTTCACCTGCCCCCAGCATTGCTCCTGTTCCCTCAGGCATGGTCTGCCCTCTTTGGCTCTCCAATGCTGCCTTTCTTGGCTGCAGGACAAAGCTATTCCTGCTATAAATGCCTGCAAATGCTTTCTTATAATTGGCTTTCTAAGGAATATGTTGGAGTGTGAGGTTCTCTCCCCTCCTAGTGAAGTGGGAGCAAAGGGCTTTACAGGCAGCCAAATCAGTTTCCTCACATGGTTTAGCAGCACCCAATGTCCCCTCAAAGTGCTAAGTGGAAGTAAAGAAATAAATAAAAATAAATAAATAAAACCCTATTAGCAAAGGATTACTGTGTAAAAATCTAAGACAAAGAACAGGAAAAGTGAAGGGGCAACGGACGTGTTAAAATGCTGCAGAAAACAAGCTGCTCACAGGAAAGTGTATTTGTCCTTTCTTTTTCAAACTCATTATTTATTTTCTCTATTCTTCAGGCCTAATGTCTCACTAATGAATTCCAGGGGGATTTTTGAATCATGGTGATATCATGGGTTAAAACCCCTTCTCTACTTTTTGAATGTAAATTCTTTTTGACATTCTTACTTATTGGGGAGCATTGACTTCTTTCCTACAACAAAACCAAAGGCTGCTCGCTTTTGCATAGTTAACATTTTGCTAATGGGTAGCCAAGATTCTCTCAGCAGCTCAACAACATTTTCTAAAGCTCAGTGGCGTTGTTGTAGCAACTGGTGGCTGATCTGTGAATAAAGCAGATGTCATTGTGGCAGGAGAAAGGGAGAATAATCTATCACCCGGCCACTACCACTCCTGCCCGAACAAGTCATCAAAATGACACCTTTGGCATGTAGTCACTAATGAAGGGCTGTGTACCACCTTATCTCATCTTGTTATTATAGAAACCAGCATTATATGTGTTAGAAACACTAAGATTTTCTCAGCCCAGCTGTCCTCGTGGAGGATGCACAGCTAGGATGTGCTGAGGCACTGATAGTTTGCCAGCTTCCTTTTAGGCTTTGATTGATTTTGCACTTTCGTCCAAGCTGGTCTGACCTAAATAAACACAATATATATTCTGGGAACTGTTTTTTTCTTTACTGTTTAATCTGAATTCAGCTCATGTGGCTTTCAACTAGACATGGCCAGACGTCAGAGTATTCTGACAGGTACCCGAGCTGAGGGGGAGAAGCAGATAAATTCCCTTCTCAGAAAGGGTTTAATCCTTTTTGGGGGGATTGGGTTTTTTTTTAAGCTTCCATTCTAACTCTCACATTTTGTACTTAGTTGGTACAACTCATTGACCCGAGGGAGTCACCTCACACCCCCCTCTGTTGGTGGCAGAAGATACAATGTGGTTTAGCGCTGTCCTGTGAAACGCTTTCCATTAGAGTATTTGCTAATTCCTGTATATGCTTTCAGTGATGCAGCATCACAGCAACTGGCCCCTGCTTCATGGAGACCCTCAGGCTTTGCACTGAGCTTCAGCTTGCCAGAGGCTGTTCCCTCTGCAGAACTGCTGTCCACATCTTCTGACTTAGAAAGACTCTCTGCTACCTCCTTTGCCTCAAATCATTGTTAATCATTTGACTTCAGGAGACAAAACACAAAACCAGGTTACTACAGTCTCCCCAGTGCATGACTCATACTTAATGTGGAGGTTATATTAATTACTGTGTGCTTAGCATTTAATGAGGCTGAGAGGGAGTCTCCTCACTTCAGCTCCACGGAACACACAGTGAACCTACTACATGCAGTGAATATATTTCCAAACCACTCAAATCTGAATATGAATTTTAGAAAAGGAGGCAGCTCAGTCATTGCTGGAGCTCCTTAAAACAGGATGGCAAAAGCTGAGAAATTTGGGTCAGAGTCTGAATCCTTTCACAGACTTCTTTGTGCCCACTGGCCAACCTTCTTGTGCTTTGTGTCTCCTGATTTCCTGCCTGTTTATGGGGATAACAGTGGCTGACTGAGGCTGGGCTCAGTATAGAGCACTTGTACAACTTGACACCTCAGCATTATAGAAGGCCAAAAGGAATTATCCTGACTTTTTGGTGTTAAATTATGTATCTTCCAGTCCTGTCTGATGGCATTATGGTCTAACACTACCTGTACTCTTATCTTCTCTGTCAGTAACTTCTTCCTCAAGGTACCAAGTATTTAATATCTTGAGTAGTTTAAAACAGTTTAGATCAAATTTAAGTCGTTTCAACAATAAGCTCCATGTGGACAAACAGTGCATATTTTCATGGGCCCACGTGCAAAAGAAAAGTTGCTAGGAAAGAAATTAAGTGCGAGAAACAACTCACAAAACAGGTTTCTTGCTGATTCAATGGAATAGATGTTTGGATTTGGCCTGAGCCAAATGAAATTGTGCTGTGAGGTGTGTAACAGCTAGGCAGGCTTAGCTTTGGCTAAAGTCTTTAACTTTGTTTTAAAAAGCCATCAAGGCAGCTTTCTCAATTGTGTTGAAAATGTGAGTAAGGAGGACATGGTGTGTTGGCTGGAGTGATGCCATATTTCTTGTATTGGTCTGAAAACTTAAAGGTACATTGTGAGAGACTGAATGTTTTTTCACGTTGAGTGTCCTCCTCTATTGTATCGTAGCCCCACATACAGGCTAAAAAACAGGACGCACAAGCCATCAGTGATGACTGGGAATGGACTGGACAGCTTATAAACTCTCTAAAGAGAGCTAAAACTCCAAATGCTTGGAGATAATAAGACAACAAGTGTATACATGCTGCAGGCATGAGAATGGGTAAGTGAAGCACTGCAGTAACAGCAAGTTGTGCATAATGTGTTGTTCCCAAGAGAAACTTCTGTGCATTCTTATGCATTAGGGGTGCACATGTTTTCTATGCTGGTCCTACTGGGTTTGTGAGGTACCACTGGTGAATTGTTTGTATTGGCAACCACAAAATCAGCTATGAATCTGGTATGATATATACTACTTGTATTTTGAGTGTGTAGGGAGAGGAAAGCTAGCATAGGAAATGCAAACTAGGGCTAAGTTTTCTGAACTAAGTTACTAAGTATAAGTGAATGCTGCAATGTTGATACCATCCTCTTTACCTCATTTGGGTTTTTTTTTGTGTGCACATAATCCTGGGAACATTTCTCTAACATAAATATGATCTCATCTCACAGAGATATCAAACCTCTTTACAAAGAAAGGCATCTTTCCTAAAAAAAAGTGGGATGCAGAGACTTTGCTAACAAAATTACAAGATCAAGGTAAGGAATTGCATAAACCTGAGAGCACCAGTAGTAAATATATTGTGCTATACTTAGAAGTGAGGTTTCTCCGGGACTTGTTTCTGACCTCCAATTGCAAACTACATGATACATGCTATAGATGAATCTTTGAATATGTAATAACAAAATGGAAAAATCAGTAATGTCACAGAGCTCCAAAGTATCAAAAGAAGCCTTTTGGCTTTTATAGCATTACCTCTGGACAAGAGAATCACAAAGTTTTGGTATCCTTCTTCAGACACCTGGAGTCCTTTAGATCCAAGCGCATCTCTTCATTATTTTGACTTATTAATCCAGAGGTAGGGTTCCCTCAATTTTTGTTCAAGATTAAAGTGCTCACATTTTGAGAAATTACTGGTACAATTTTGACCAGAAGAAGGTGAATTGGGTTAGCAAATCGGGTCACTTGCCATGGTGACAACTACCCAAAATAAGCATCAATTAAGGGAGAATATTTTGGAATCTAGATGAGCTTCATCATGTGAAGTTTTGCTGTGATACAGTTCCTGCACTTGGTTCAGTTTTGAACAGTTTTGGAATATTCAAGCCTGACTCAGACTATACCTCTGTTGGCTGACAGCAACAGCATCTGCCAGATTTGGCCAACTTTGTCTAGGCACGTCAATCACTGAAGCTGTAGGATAGTCCTACCAACAGCAGAGGTGGAGAGCTTCTTGTTCAATTGGCTTCTTGGGGTTACGAGTTGGGTGCAGAGGGCTCTATTAGTTAATACACTCATTTTGGACATTCATAGTGCATATTTCTGATACCTCCTATAATGATAAATGTAAAAATGTCAGAAATTAATTAGAACATATGCACCCCACCTGTACTCTGTGATGTTTCTGTATTCACCACACTGATTTTCAAGTGTGGTGAGTTAAAAACAGTTCTATAATCCACAGATAAGTTATTAAGAGCCTTGCATATTATGGTTCATGTCCATTATTTTCCTTTTCTAAGTAACTGTGCAGCCTTAAAGTAACTTTACCAAATGAGTCACTTGAGAGCACATTTTAAGGATGTTTTCAGTTTAATTATCACTGTTGAAAGACATATCTCCATTAGGTTTGTGCATACATGGCAAAGAAAACTTAATCATTGACTGATTCATGTTTTATGTAGGTACTTCTAGCATTCAAGCTAACTGTATTCAGGTTAGTTGTCCTTTTAAAAAGGCTGAGAGGTAAAATCCTTACAGTGTGCTTAGGAATCCCAAGGCAGAACTGCTTTGTTTCCATGAATCCAGGCTCTGTTATCAAGTGAGAAAGTGAGATTGCACGAGTAACAGCTTCACAACTTGCAGGTATGCTTGTTCTCTTACACTTCCTACTCCTCTTACTCCTCTTGCATGTATGTTTTCTTTAGAAGCCTCAGCTGGGTTATGAATGTGAGCAGCAATCCAGTGTTTCCCTTGGTTAGTGGAGATGAAAAGATGTGTTTTCTTTTGAGAGCTGTATTGTTATGCAGTTGTGTGCATTTCACTCCCATTGTGCAGCTCTTCACCAGGCAGAAATAGAGCTCTTCTATCCCTGAGGACAAAGAACAAACTGTTGTCGGGGGGGGGGGGGGGGGGGATATATACCAAATTGTAAATCTTTCTCCTTCTCCTGTTTATTCTTTGTGCCATTCAAAACCGTTTAGCCAATGAACAGTTAACTCCAGACTCATGGCAGATTCTGATGGGCCAGGTTTCTCCTGTCTAAGATGATACAGCCAAATTTCCAAGTACTTTCTAGTTGAATGCAGCGTTTTCCTTGCTCTTTAATGCATAGTTCCCAAACTGTTCTTGCAGCTATCAAATTGATATTTTCACTAATTAATACACTGATCATATACAAAGCTGTAAAATACAGGGGAAATGTGGATCAAATTCATTTCATCGTCATCCAGTTCTTTATTATTGTTAAGTAAAACTGTTTAAAGTTATTTGTCCTTCAGTTACTAATCTGCTAGCTGTACATTGCACATCGCTGCTTACTGAAATAGAGAGGCAGCAGGACTTTCACGAATTCTTCTTCCAGGGTAAAAACATGCTGCAAAAGTAATAAGTTGTAAAATAACTCTAACCAGTAAAGAAAACACATTTTTGACTGTGATATGGTATTCACTAAGTAAAAAGCCAATACAAACTGGGGGAGGAAGGGAGATTCCAATATTAAACGTTAGGTATGAATTATTGAACTATAACATATTGTTGTAATTAACATCCATACTGTATATACTTCCATTTTATGTCTTATCAATTCTTGATGCATGGAATTTAGAATTAAAAGCAGTGACTCAATTACTCCCCAAATTGTTTTTACATTGTTTTATACTGACAAGTCGTAAGCTTGAGAGTAAATTGTGTTCATAATTTCATTTTGATATCCTCTGCTGGTGTCTGAGTTGCATAAAAAATCTATTTTAAGTGGCAGCTCTGCAAAGAAACTCTCTATGTAATCTTAATTATACACTGCAGGCTCAGGTACTTCATGGGCTTGTGTTCTTACACAAATGATGTATGCAAGAAGTAAGTTAAACCAAGGAAACATCATGTCACATTCAGACAAGTTCTAAAAGGTTAGATCCTTACAGTGGAACTTTAAAACATCTTTTGTGATACTTCTATTTACTAAGAAAACTTCCTCTGGTTTTGCAGTCTTAGGTGGGAGTTTTGCCTCAGAAAGGTAGGTGGATACAAGATAAATCTGCACCATGTCCTCCTCGTAAGGCTCACTGTTCTCACAAGGAGTCAGGGAACTGCACTGCATACTAGATGGAGGTTTGTCTCCTTACTGATGCCCCTCTTAGCCTCATTAAAAATGTGAGATCCTGTAGTCTGGAAGTAGAGAAGAATCTGGTCTGTCCCAGACAGAACATGCAATATCATCAGCTTCTTACCCAATGAAAAATAACATTAAAATTAGATTAGTTTTTTACCAGTCACTAATGTGTCAAGCAGGAGAAACAGAATGATATTCACCACTCAAATAGCTGGAGAAATTACAGTGCTAAAAAGGAAATACCATAAAGGGAACACAAAAATGGCTTAGCTGGACTCTGACAAACAAGTGAAAACAAGTGAGTAGTCTCTAAGTTTGCGTAGATGTTTTTCTGAATTCCTGAGCACTGGTCTGGGGGGAAAGGGGAGGGGGGGTAGAGTAATGTAAATGCCAAAAAGAGCTGGACAAAAAGTAAGCTTTGTATCCTATCTATGAGAATCAGACGATGTGTGTCATGCTAGTTTTTACAGTCATAGTCTACAGTCTTCCACTGATTAAAATCAAATTTGACAGTAACACAATATAGAGGTTTAACTGACAGCACACACAGCACTTTTGCTAGTCATAACACCACAGTTTAATGACTGACGCATGTGGGAAGCTAATTCGGATTTTGCTTTACTTGAATGGGATAAATGAGCATCCAGTTCATACCAATGAGGAATTCAAGCCATGTGACAGAATTGATGCTACAGACCCTGTTCTTGTTTTGCATATTCTGCAAATGGAGCTGCAGGAAAAGAGCCAGTTTGTACACACATCCAGAGAGAAAGGTCATTCTGCTTCCTGACACATCCACCAACTGCAGCTGAATGTATCCAGCTTGCTGCTGCTGTGTCCACAAACTAATGACCCTTCCTCTGTTAAATAGCCTAAGAATTACAAATTGTATGCCTGTTTTGAGAAAAAGTACAGGTTGAACAAGCAGACGTAGTATAAATAAAATATTTATATAAAAATAGTCTCTTACAAAATATACTCTCTTATCCTATGGTTGATTTTTCCAAAAGATGGAAGTTTGTCTGGATTTTCTTTTTTTTTTTTTTTTTTAGACGTATTCCAAACAGGATTTTAGTAACATTTCTTTCTTTAATGGAAGGAAAACCACCCCAAAACTGATAAAGATTTGTAACCCCTACCACTTGACTTTTGTTCCAGACAACTAGCAGCAAACAGGAGGAAACGAACAAACAGACAAACAAAAAAACCCAAAACAACAGTGTGTGTTTGTGTATGTACATATATATATAAAGATGCCAGCTTTTGTACTTAAACATCTACTACTGTAGAACACATACTGCAAGTCCAACTAATAGAAATATCCTAGTGAAGAATAATATGTACAGCTCCCATTTTTCCTTGCCATTTCTACAAAATTATTTCACAAAGCCAGCTATCTACTTTAATTGCAGAATAGATCCAAAAATGTTGGTAGAGTTCTTTTTAATTAAATAAATTAATATTAGTTTTATCTGAATAAATTGTTAAATATTGCTATTATTATGCCAAAGTGTCCCAACTCCCTGTGCTAAAATCCGCAGCACGCACACACACACAAGAAAGGCAGATAAAGCAGTGTCTACAGAAACCCTCAAAAGTTCTACTCGCTGTAGCAAATGTTATGAAGTGGAAAGATGGGCAAGAGCAGCAGAAGCTTTTCACAAGTGTAGAAGCCTAAATCTGTGTCATCCACACACTCACATGGGCAGTTCACAACAAGGCACTGTCCATCCTGTGCAAAGCCCTTTTTGAGGATCTCTCCTCTGCCCCTCCTGCTCCTTGTTACACTGAAGCTTTTCCCCATTGTTTTTCCAAACCAAGAGTTAGTTGCCACGCTCAGAGCTTTTCCTCTCAGCGGTGTCTCTTCACAAAGCAGTCAATACTTCTTGCTTTAGAGGCGCACATTAACTGAGATGATCTTTTTTCTCTCTGTTTTGTGTGTCAGGTGGCTCAGGGTGGGGGTTCTTTGTTTTTATTTCCTGGCTGACTTTCATAAGAGTCTGAGATGTGTATTCACAGAAGCAATGAAACATGAGAAGAAAAGAGAGGGCTCCATTCATCAGCATTTCTTCTGGGAGAGCAGATCTTTCCTACAGTCTTGTGTAGGTACTTTGAGTGCATGTGCAAATGTATTCATGGCCAGGGACATGCCAGCCTGCCCAGCCACATGCTCACTTACAGGTATATACTTCTGTCCTCTCACTGCAAGTGTTGCATTTAACATAGCAGCACCAATGAAATTTGCAGTTGCACTGCCACACTCTTGAGTACTGGTGTGTATTGTAACCTCGACCACAGCACATGAGATCACAGCCATTGGACTGCTGGGCTGTCTTGTTGCACATCCTGCCCTGTGTTCCCACACTGCCAGTGACAGGGTCTTCTTCACAATAATTGGGAGATTTTTCTATGTACACTAAATCTGTATCCATGGGTTTGCGATAGGAAAGTGGCTTCTTTATTTTCAGGAAGGTGGGACGCTTGTTACGACTTGCCCTCACTGGTTCGACTTGAACAGCTTCGTTGTATTTGTCCTTAAGGATGTAGCCCAGCTCCCGGAACTTAGGCAGAGTTGTCCAGCATGTTTTAGTGGTACAAGATCCTGAGACCCCATGGCACTTGCATTCTAACTTCATGTTTTCTTCCAGAATCTGTATTTGGAAGAACAAAGAATGATGCATTAATACAAGCAAGAGTCTCTTCAACAGGGTTATTTGATACATATTGAATGACAGTCACAGATGGGTTTGCTCTCCAGCATGAATTGTCACCTCAAAGACCACATTCCCACCAAAGCTGGGGCTTTTGCTTGCCCAGTGACACTGTTGTCCCAGGTAGGAAATGCTCATCAGTGTCAGCTGAGCATTGCTGCAAAGCTCATTTCCCATTTGCACTTCGAGTTAAGCAGGGAAAAAAACTTTTCCTAATTTCACAGCCCACAGAGCAAGGGTAAAATGGGACTCTCCTTAACCACAGTTTTTCATCACTTTCATTTCCAATAGGCATGCACAGTGCTTCAGATTCATCTGGTGTTACAGCTCTTGACACATGGCAGTGAAATTAGGAACTGGCAGAAAATCACACTATTTCCTGAAATGCCACATGCAGAATGCCTTGAAAGTTCAACAATAGGTACTAGAACTTGATTCTTGTAAACAGAGGTTAAAACATAAACTGCATTTCAGTTCTTGCACCTGGACATGACGTCAGCTGATGAAAGACAGGAACAAGCAGCTAAACTCTATCAAGGCTTATTCTTCTGTTGGTCTCACATCAATCAGCAGTGTAGAGCAGATGATCATTTATTCATGTAGGCATCATCTGTTCTAAATGTTGCAAGCTAATGCTCCGATTTGGATATCTAAGTATTATTTTAATATACCACAGTCATGTTATTTGCACTTTCTGTAGGGTTTGAAGTATTTTGTGTCCTCTCACAGGGATCACGGAGAATACAAAATGCCCCAGCTACTTTTAAGAAAACTAGGTCTGTCTTACCGAGTAAAGATGAGGAATAGGTTTCATGTTTTGACATCGATTCTTGTGAAAAAAATCTACTTCATTCATACTGTAAAAGCATCTCAAACACCTCAGCCCCGTGGCTTGCTCCACCCTGTCACATGTTCTCTTCTTTGTAGGGGTATCTCATGCTTACACCTGAGTTGTCACTACATTCCTTTTGAAGATACCAAGCTTCATCTTTCCTTCCACCTTCCCACCCTCTACACTTTATCCTTGTATCTTCTCCCTCCTGCTGCTTGTTCATCAACCCACTCTGCCAAATGAAACTGGAGACCAGCTCAGTCCCTGCTGTCCATCCTGACCTCACTGAGCAGCTACATTGGGTCAATGCTAGAAAACACCTAACTCCAGCAGTTAGTTTTCCACTGGTCTTTGCCTGAAAGAGGCCATAATGATTTTGATGATTAAATTCTGCCTAAACCAGCAGATCCCAGCAGTGGAAGTGCAGCCAAAAGGATTATCTGGGTTCAGGGAGTGGCCACACAAGTTTTCCCCTGAGAAAGCCCAGCTGATCCACACAACTGATCTGGGCAGCCTACAGGGGTTGTGATACAACAGATATAACTTGTGGGTTGGTTGTACCCTTGTGCAGTGATACAACAACTTGAATTAATCCTTTTTTATAACCCCTCTTCAGTTTTGGACATTTGTGAAACTTACCATTCAGACATTGGCACTGGCTGCTGCTCCAGCCTGCACTGAAGGAGCCAAGTCCAGCTTGAAGGCTGGACATACGTCCTGGGACTCAAAAGACTAAAATCTCAGCATTAAACCAGAGGCGGCAAGGAGAAGGAGCACAACTGCAGATCCTAAGTGGTGCACTAACCCTAGTGAACATAGTTCCATCCTGCTCTTGGCAGCCTTAGAATGAGTAATTTAGAGACTGCATGTAGTAGCTTATTATTCTCATACCTTTTGGTCTTCAGGCTGTTCCCATGTCATCTAGGCACAGTAATTGCTATTGCCTAACCTTAGGAGAGTTTGTAGCTGATTCTTTACTTATTGTTCTTCCTCTGCCCCTCTTCAATGAAGACAGGGATTTCAAAGGCATTAAAATAGCTTTATTTTTAGTCTATGAATGAAGTGTCAGAACCTGTGGTCTGAAGGCAGGAATAAAACAGGTAGAAAGTGTAGGTCCAAGACTTTGACAGATGTAAACTTAGTACATACTGGGTCACATTTCATGCTACAGTTTTTAGGTTCGTTTTCCATGCAAACTATCTATGACTGCCCTAAAACTCAGATGTGAGAAATTTTTATACACATCTTAACTTGCAGTTCTGCTCAAGCTTTGGCTTACATTTGCATTATCTTGTTATCTTGAGTTTCTCAGCCACTGCATGCTTCTTTTATTGCTCACTCATTTATGAGGTAGTACACTAAGAAGATAGATGAGGAGAGGGAAAAGGAGTTATAGCACAGAAACCGGAAAAATCACATAAATTCTTTTAGCCTCATTTGTACCTTTTAAAAATCTCTCTTTTTTTAATTTGAAACTAGCCAGGGATGCATTTCTCAGCCCTAATTCAATCCCTGCTCATGTTCAGGGGCTGGACTTATATCCTGGTACCATGTTCAAACTTGCAACGAAATATTTCTCCCTTGCCTGACATCAGGATCCTCCAAATTGACTTGAAACATTAATACAAAATACATCATGTGTCATCTACCCAGGTAGAGCTTTTTTCCTGCAGTGTACTTAAATAGCCTAAATTGCCTGTTTCATTAACAAGCCATTACAGCCAGCAACCTCAGAGAGAATTAGTAGTTCCATTGAAAGAGCTGAGCAAGCGGCTGGAGCAGTTCAGCAACTGGGCAGCCTCGTGTCATGTGTTGGGCTCCTTCTTGGGGTGACACGATGCCAACCAGGATAGGCTTCTGCTTTCCTGGGCTCAGCTAATGCTGGGCACAGGCAGTTAGGATAAAAAGGAGTGGGTTTATGTGGAAATGAGAAGTTTGAGCAATACTGGTTGAACCAAAGTGCCAGGGGTCCTTCTTAGATGACAAAAAATTCTTGGAGAGGGCAGAAGGATGAGGAAGAATGCTGTCCTTTAACGCAGATGCATCTCCAATATACTGTGCTAAAATCTGTCTAATTTGGGTCAACTGTGCTCTGCAACTGAACTTTCCTCTTTAGTTCTGCCTTTTCTAACCCAACCTCTCTACCTTTGCCTCACAAACCCTTTGGTAGGTTCTGTTCTTGTCTATACAAAGTCCTCTTTCAATGTGCTGTCTTTCAATGTGGGGTTTTCCAAATTCAGCCAGACATGAACTGACCCTACAGCCCTTAGGAAATAGGCTATGTGTAACTTGAACTGTCTGTCTTCAGCAAAAGCCTGCAGTGTTGATCGGACAGTTTTGTTGTACTCTGAGATCAGGTGCTTGGACTATTTGTTTTGCATCAAAATATGCGGGCAGTGGTATTTTAGTACCATTCTAGTAGCCTCTGATAAATCACTGCCTTTATAAATTGCAGATGAAACTGAAAAAGAGAAGGAAGAAGATAAACAAGGGGATTCCTTACGTAGGGACAAGAGGCCTCAGTCTTTCCCTTGGTTTCCATGAACCAAAAAAATGCTCTACCCCTTAAAAACTTAGTCTGGTTAAAACCAGAAAGCGTTCTTCACCTGTCAAGACCAGGATATGTGTCTTTGAAGGTATTAACCAGCAGCTCTCACTTTTTACATTAGATTAAAACTTTATAGATGTTGAGACTGACTTCTCCTAAAATGTAAGAGCCTGAAGGGCACAAAATTTAAATCCTAGATCCTCTGTTTCTTACCAAATGACCATATCCAGCTCTGTCAGCCATGGAAAGTAAATCTGTATGCACCAGTGAATGCTCTGAACTGGATTAAATGTGAACAAAGAGCCGCAGTTCTTTTAGCTTTGTCCACTTTTTCTTTGAGCTCCTACAGTAAACTGTCAGTACTTGCTTTTCTCTCCCTCTTCCCCCTTGCCATTAGCCTCTGGGAAATAGTTTGCATGAAGAGAACTTGCGCTGGCTCTCTCTATTGATGTTATCTTCCGATATAGTACCTTTGGGCACTGCCATTAGCAACTTAACATGTTTTTTCTTCACCTTTGGTTTTGCAGAGAATGTGAAGGGTGTATCGTGTGAGGGTAGCAAGTGCAGAACCCTGCAGCCCAGGAGCTGCATGGGCTGGCACCAGCGCTGCGGTCCTGCAGCAGTGGCCAGGGCACCTTGTAGCTGAGCCAATGTGCCTGGTGTCCAGTGAGACCAGCAGAAAGTGCTGGCTGGTGTGACTTGGCACTGGAGTGGTATTTGCTCTCAAGTGCTTCTCTGCAGCCATATCAGAAGTGTGCCCTCTGGGTGGTGGGATGGGTGCTGTGGGTGCTCGGGTCAGGGGAAATGGAGTTGTTATGTGGCTGGTGTGCTCAGAAACACGGGTCACCCTCATGCAGTGGGTGTTCTGAGCTCAGTATCTCTGTTACCCAGTCAGTCAGTGGTGTGTACCACCTTGGTTTTCCAAATGCATCTGCCCGGGCAGTCTGAGACTCCACATGGCCACTCACATGTGGTCTGGTACCGGGGACAGCCCTGGGTTTGGTCACAAGAACTCTAAAACACTTGGTGCCAAAGCTATCCCAAAGGACTTCTTACATCTGAAATACAGTTACCATCGCACCTCCAGCACGTTCTCCTTCACCAACAGGATTCCCATGGAAACTAAATCCTGCCTCACAGTCAGTACACTGCCCATAGTGCCTGAGACCAGAGACCCTTCACTGCTACATCAGAAATAACTCAGACTCTAGTCTACAGGTGAAGCAGACGTAATGAGTGAGACAACAGACACTTAATTCCTATCCCACCAAAGCCATAATCCTTCCTAATTTTGTGTGACATCAGATCATCTGGATCAGGAAATACCTGTCTCCTCCAAGTGCCTGAACAAATACCTTTACTATAAGTGAAAGAACCCACCACTACTGGCGAAACAAGAGTGGTTTTTCACTCTGGAGAAGAGCATGCCAGGGGCTGGGGAGCGGTCACACCACTTCTGTGGGGTAGGGAGGCCAGCGGACAGGTGCAAATCTGCCCCTTTCAGCTTGTGGCATATGAGGACTCATGATTTATATTACTTTCAGAGGCATTTGTAGCTGT